GCCTAAGACAGGAGATTCAGAAAGAAAATATAGTTGTACTCGAGTGTAAAAGATTCCGACAACACTTCTTTGTCTGACCATACATTCCGAGCCTCCTAAACTCAACAATATTATCTTATTAATCGGCTCTATATAGAATCCTCAACTCGTGGGAGAAAACAAAATCTGTTCCGAGGGGAAAATTGTGCAGCGTTTTATCGATCAAACTGATTTTTTTCTCAAAACTCGAGCGATGGGGTGGGGTGGGGTGGGGGGGGGGCGTGGAGATGAGAGAGAACGTATGTTTTAAGGGTCTTTTATTATTCACAGAACTTAATTTAACGACGATAAATTTGGTTTTCTCTTCTTAAAAAGGCTCAATTTGATTTTCATGTTCAAAAAAAAAAAAAAAAAAAAAGAAAGAAAAAAAGAAAATTGGCATAATTTTCATGAAGCATCATGTGATTGTATTGATTGTTGGTTTTCTGGGGAAAAGGTATGATTGAATTGTTAGGGCGAAGGTATTTGTTGTGGAAAGTGTATGGTGAAATTGTAAAAAACAAAAAATATTTTGTTTCTGTTTTTTTTTAAAGAAAGGCGCTCGATGCTTAGTTACTACATGATTTCAATGTGGCCAGGGCTAGTACAGTGGTACCACGAGGTAAACAATTTAATTAGTTCAGTGACATCGCCCGTATGTCAAATTAAATTGTTCGTATCTCAAACCAATTTTCTCCTTTAAATGACAAAAAAGCTATAAATCAATACCAGCCTTCGAAACGGGATTTGGGCGCTAAACCGCAACCTAATGCCGGGGCGCCGCCCCTCAGAACTTAAATTTTTTAAATTGCAAAGTTTCATGGCGATTGGATACAAGTAATGATAGTAATGCACACAAAACAAACACACAAAGGCAATCCAGCGTACGACATTACATGTATGGACAATGTCGAATTTTAGTATGTTTGTTACTGCTATGTAGGAGAGAGTATGTTGGATGTCGAAGGTGTTTCCTATTAACTTAATAACTCTAGAATGTGGTTTTGTGGCAAATGTTTGAGTGGGGTTGTATTTGTAGCGGTGAATTGTGGGGCTAAATAATTAATAAAGTGGGCTCGTGAAATTGGGTTGAATAATTAATGAAGTGTTATTCTCGTGCAACGCAATGCTATCGTGATGGGTGCTATGTGCTGTGTGATGCTCTTGTTCTGTATGATGCTATCTTGATGTGGTACTCTCATGACGTAATGCTATCGTGATGTGGTGCCCTCCGAGGTTGTGTGTGACAGCCCCATACCAACAGGGCTAGTGCCAGCTCAAGGTAACAATGTAACATCTGAAACCTTTTGTAAGCCTCAACAAGCGCGACCACCACCACAACGTGAACATTGACGACCACTGCGAAACGTGCATCAGGTGTCCCATTCAGTTCAGTGAATACAATTCTAAAGCACGTCTGGGTGGGGTGCGGGTGGTCGGTATATAAAGGAGTGGGTTGTCACGATACACAGATGGCGGGGCGGGTTGTCACCATACCAAGAAGATGAATAGCCGGGTTGCACGATACCAGCAGATAGCGGAGGTTGTCACGATTGAAAGATGGCTTAGAAGGTTGTCATGATACAAAGATGGCGGACATGGTTGTCACGATACAAAGATGGCGAAGAACGTTGTCACGAAAGAAAGATGGCGAAGAAGGTTGTCACGATAAAAAGGGCGTAAAAGATTGTAAAGATACAAAGATGGCGGACAGGGTTGTCACGATACAAAGTAGATGGCGGAGAGGGTTGTCACGGCACAAAAAGAAGAATGCGAGTCAGTGTTTCTTCGTAAATCTGCTCTACTAACCCTCGCCCAACGAGTCGATCCACGCTCGTGAAATGTTGGCATCAGGCAAGGTTGTAAAGGCAACAGGAGCTTTTGTTTTTGTTATGTGTGTTTGTGTGTGTGTGTGAGTGTGTCTGTGGGAGGGGTGGATCAACAGGTTTGAGATTCCTACTGTTTTACACCTGTTTAAACATTTTTTTTGCCCGTTATAATAAAGCACACGAGATTTTTAAGTCATTGCGGTGAGGTATTTTCAAAGCAAATAGTAAACAAAAACAATCCATGTTGCTACATTAAACTCGAGAAAACGTAACTAGCATTTTTGATTAGGGTTCGCGTGAAAATACTGTTATGTTATTATAGTATTTTTGTGAAATGTGCTTACGGATATACAAAAGAGATATGTTTGAGACTGCATAATGCGGTATTTTGCGATAACATTTCGTCGCTACGTCAGATAATTTTATTTATACAACATGGAAGAGATCGATAAATAAAATAGCAATTCGCAAAATGAATTCGAAACTACATTAAAAAATGCATTTCGCGAGATGAATTCCAAGCTACAAAAAAAAACATGCATTTTACAGCTAAGTTCGTGACTAAATTAAAAAGCATTACGCGAGATGAGCTCAAGACTATATTAAATAGCACTTCGGGAGGGATGACTTCGAGACTGCATTAAATAGCATTTCGCGAGATGAATAAGAGGCGACTACATTAAATAGCATTTCGCGAGATGAATAAGAGGACCAGCGGGTGATCAAACACAAGTAAGATGGTGTCAAGGAGAAGATAATATTAACATCATTATGTGCATAGCGAGCGCGGCTCCAGGTAAACCGGATAATTACCTTCATCCATCAGGACATGCCACGCTAAGCGTGCACTCACTAAACTACACATTGAGCACTCGCTCTACCTAGAGAAAGAGGGAAAAATCAGCTTTCAAGCTGCACTAATTGATGGGGGATGGGGTGGGGGTGAGTTGTTTTTTTTTTTTGTAACTGGTCGACTGTAAAAAAAACGAAAAAAAAAAAAACGAACATTCCCTCCTGTCTCTTCCCCCTCTCCACGCGTAAAATATAATTAACGTAATTAAATTAGTTTGGTAAAGGAAACGGTAATCAACTTATTCGAACATGTTTTTAATTGCCATGCTATTTTCCCTTGTTTCTTCTTCTGTCCTGGTTTTTGCACCCCAGCACACCCCCACTCCAAACATCCCCCCCCCACACACACACACACGAACCAAGAATTTTCCAACCTTTACCCCGGTTTCTATTGCATTGGTATTTTATACTTTCAGTAATGAGAGCAATCACTTCCTAGACAATAGTTAGGCAGTATAACAATAACCTATTTTATTTTTTGGAACCAACTTCGCCATAGAAATCAATGGGAGTCTAACCGCTCTTAAATATTACGAAATCGTATACATAGAAACCAATACCTTTACATAAATATTCTCAATTATATCAATTTACAAACACGTGCACATGTCTTTGTAAAAAAAAATACGTTTTTTTTTTTAAAATCCTAGGAATTCTAATAATTATTCAAGAGCAGAATTTTCCTTTTTTTCAACTTCACAACAACAAAAACTAACACGTGCTTTGCATTAGGAAGTAAAAACTAAAACCGCACAGGTACGTGATGTACGAACTGACAGAAATATTATTTCGCCACAATAACAGAGCACAAGAAAATATAAGATCATGAGGAACCAATTTTCAAAGAGAAAGGAGGTTTTTCTTTTCTGTTTTATTCATTTAATTAACGTAGTTTCGCATCAAAGGTGTTTTTTTATAACTCTAAAGTGTCTGCATTTGATAACTTTTTTTTTTCATTTCTTTTTATCAATTTTTTTTTTACAATTTCAACGCAAGCCTTAACAAAATACACGCGATTAAGTTTCGCGTAGGATTTCTATTTTGTTCGTTTTGGTTATTCTTTAAGGGGATTTCCTCCAAAACAATAAGGTATTACGTATCGCCATGTTATACCGCCTTTACTCCATGACTTCAGCCTGCTTTTCTCTCTGGATTCTCTTTCACTGACTGTGTCCAACCTTCTTCTTCTTCTTCGTTCCTAATTTTTAGTGTTGGAAGGGATCGAGCCTTATCTGCCAGAGGGTTTGACTTTTTTCGAATTTATCAACCATGAGCTTTGCCGACTCGACCATGCTTCCATCGCAATTAAGGATTACGTGTCAACTGGTTATGCGCCATTGAGGCCATTGACTCCGATTTCAGCCTGCTATTTTTTTTGGATTTGCTTCCATAGCCTTTGTCCAACCAAGAACAAACTACAAGGCAGCAGTTGTTTGATTTTGGAGTTGTCTCTCATAGAAGAGTGGCTGTCCCCAGCTAACGAGCCTCATCTGCCTGAGGGTTCGAACTCGAGACTTTTCGGTTTAGCAACCATGAGCTTTACCGACTCGACCACGCCGACCCCACTGTGTCCAACCAAGAACACACTACAAGACAGCAGTTGTTTGATTCTGGAGTTGTTTCTCCTATATCGGTTGCTGTCCACAGCTAGCGAGCCTCATATACCCCGGTGGTCCGAACTCGGGATTTCCGGATCAGCCCTTGTTAGCTCTCCTTCGAATACGCTGGCCTAACACCATCGGAAATGAGGTAATACGACAACGGAAAAGAAATTAACTGCCGGCTTAAGAAGAGATTCTCCAGAGAAAATGGAAATGGATTGGCCACAGACTCAGGGAGTCTGTATACAACATAACAAGACAGGCGCTCAACTAGAATCCACAGGGGAAAATGAAAAGAGGCAGACCAAGAAAGACCTGGAGATATGACCTGGAAGAAGACACCAAGAAGATTGGATACACCTGGGGACAGTTGGAGATACTAGCCCAGGACAGAGACGCCTGGAAAGCTCTTGTCGGCGGTCTATGTCCCAGGAGGGACGACAGGGTAACTTTGGAGTAACTAGCATAAGATAGTGGTACTTCGAAAGGTCTTTTCAGCGGCCTATGTCCAATGATGGGGCGACAGGCAAACCTTGGAGTAACTAGCATAAGACAGAGGTCCTGGAAAGATATTTTCAGCGGCCGATGTCCCACGATGGAGCAACAGGCTAACCCAAGTATAAGCTCTCCCACCCGAATACACCGCCCCTCATCACTTGAGAGCAAACAAACAATACAAAAAACCTCACAGATCTCTTACCTGATCCGAGAGACCTAAAACCCGTAAATTTCTTGAGATGTTCATGTGTATAACATGGAAGCGATTAGCCGTGCACAAGTCGTAGGCGATGCCGGCAAAGGACGTACTGCCGGTCTTGGGGACCCGGTTGTACAGGAGCACCATGTCGTTGTCGCGCTCCGTGCTCCACGATTGCTGAAAGACATACAGAAATACTAGTTAGGCTCAGGGTCAAAGGTTAAAATATAGATTTTTGTTCTGCTCAGTGTCAAAGGTTAAAATATAGATTTTTTGTTCTGCTCAGGGTCAAAGGTTAAAATATAGACTTTTGTATGCTCAGGGTCAAGGGTTAAAATATAGACTTTTTTAATGCTCAGAGTCAAAGGTTAAAATATAGACTTTTTTATGCTCAGGGTCAAAGGTTAAAATATAGATTTTTTTCTACACAGTGTCAAAGTTTAAAGGACAGATTGTCAAGCTCAGGATCATCGTAAGTTAAAAGACAGACTTCTTAAGCTCAGGGTCAAAGGTTGCTGTCAGGTCACATTATTTTAGTTACGGGTCAAAGTTTTTCTGCTACAAGAAAATTTAAAAAACATATTTTTATGACTATGGTCAAAGGTTAAACGATTTAATACTATGGGTCCAAAGTTTAAAAAAAAAAACATTTTTATGTCAAACTACACGGCAGAGGGTCAGAGGTTAAGAAGTTTAAAGCTCAGGGGTAAAGGTTATAAGACTTTACGCTTAGGGTCAACGGCCTAAAGAGTTATTTTAAACTGAAGTGTCGAAAGACGCATTTCAAACCATCAGCGCTAGAAGAAATTTCTGCTTAAATTCAAACTCAACGATATAAAAACAAGCCATAACACTGATAATCGAATATTCAAAGACAGACTTCGATCTAATTATGATAATTTAAAAGACAAATGTTATGCTCGTAATTAAACATGCAAAGATAATCATTGATCGTCAAATTATTAAAAAGAAAAAAAAAACTGATGATCAAAGATATAAAAAATTGATATTGATTTCACGTCTCATTCGCTCCGCTATGAATAGATACTAGACATTATTCTTCTTCTTCGTTAGTAATTTTAGTGTTCCCTTCAAACATGCGCCATTGCGGCCATTGACTCCGATTTCATCCTGCTTTACTTTTAGGATTTACGTCCATAGCCTTTGTCCAACCAAGAACAAACTACAAGGCAGCAGTTGTTTGATTTTGGAGTTGTCTCCCCTAGAAGAGTGTGGCTGTCCCCAGCTAACTAGCCTCATCTCCCCGAGGCTAGACATTCGGCTTTGATGTTTTTGAAGTGAGTTCTCCATTGAGCATCGTACTACTCTCTACCTTCAATTAAAAGTCCTTTTTTTACCCCCCCCCCCCCCCCCACTTCAGTAACATCCAGTGTAACAGGTGAGGCAGGGTGCACTTCTGCCCAAGGTAATCATCCAAACTTATCTCAAGAATCAGCACCTGTACCGTGACCCATCTTCATTTATTATTTCACTTAACTTTTTTTTTTTAAATGTATCATAACGACGCGTGGCTTTTACTGAAAAGATTGTTTCATTAGAAATGGCCCCATATACTTCAACAACGAAAGATCTGTTGTTGTTTTTTACTTTCTCGTATATACGTAGTATAGAGAAAGTATTGTAATCGTGCAAAAAAAAAATCGAGATTTTTACAAATCTCGACGTTTTACACCTCACTGATACGGAAAAACATAATTTTGCAATCTTGTCCGTATGTCTGTGTGTGTGTGTGTGTGTCTGTGTGTAAACACGATAACTTGAGTACCGTTACAGCTAGGTTGATGAAATTTCATATATAAGTATTATATCAAAATCGTAGATCCGTATCAACTTTTGAGCGATTTCCGATAACCGGAAGTGGTACTTTTTCTACTTTGAATTTTTCAAAAGCCTATAACTTGAGTACTATTTCAGATAGATACATGAAATTTCACATGTAAGTAAAAGATCTAATTCTCTACCTACTGTTAAATTTTGAGTAATTTCCGTTGACCGGAAGTAGTAATTTACGCTACTTCCGATTTCTCAAAAAACTAATGTACATTTTTAAAGTACTAATAATATTGTGCACTATTATGCACATTTTGTTTCGGCGTTTGTTTGGTGCGCAATGTTTTTTTCTATGAGATTCTATTCTATTTTTAAAAGTTTAAGTAATTAAAAATCATATCTACATTCCAAGTTATATAAGAATATTCGAGAAAGTTTAGGGGAGATCACTCCCGGTTTATTTTTTAATGTATCATAACAATGCGTGGCTTTTACTTTAAAAGATTGTTTCCTTTGAGCGACTATGTTAAGCGAAATGGCCCCAGATACTTCAACAGCGATGCCTATTTCTTTTTCTTCAATTTATCATAACAATGCATTTACTGAAGGAAAAAAAATGTGTTTTTTTTTTACCGTGATTATCCTAACAACGCGTTGCTTTTACTGAAAAGATTGTTCCCTTAATGTGACTTCCCCAATGAAGTAACTTTTTTTTTAATGTATCATAACAACGCGTGGCTTTTAAGATGGTTCTGTTAACGTTACTATTTTAAGTGAAATGGACCCAGACACTTCAACAAGGTACCTTTTTTAATTTTTTTTTTTACAACAACGCGTGGCTTTTACTGTTAACAAAATGGTTTCCTTATAGTGACTATCATAACAACCCGTAGATTTTACTGTAAAAGATGGTCTCCTTAACGTGACTATCTTAAGCAAAATGGCCAGATACTTCAACAACAAGGTATTTTTTTTAATTATCATAACAACTCGTGGCTTCTACTGAAAAGATGGTTTCCTTAGAGTGACTATCTTAAGCAAAATGGCCAGATCATAACAACCCGTAGCTTTAACTGAAAAGATCGTCTCCATTTACGTGATTATCTTAAGCTACAATGGCCAGATACTTCAAAAACGAGGTACCTTTTTTTTAAACTATCCTAACAACTCGTGGCTTCTACTGAAAAAATGATTTCCTTAGAGTGACTATGTCAGCTAAATGACCCAAGACACTTCAACAAGCAGGTAACAGAGATACCATCACCACATCAGGAGCCGTGGTACCCTGTCTGGCACTTAACGAACCAAACAGTTATTATTATCTTACAACAGCAGCACCCCCTCCCCCCCGGGGGCGCTCTTAACCCAGGTAAGTTATTAACGAAGATTAGGTTAAAAAAACCGCTTGAGCTGGGCTTAACCTTTACGCGGACCTCGTTTTAGCGGTTTTTAATTAACCCCGTGGGGGCCAGGCAAAAAAAAAAAAAAAAAAAAAAAAAAAAAAAAAAAAAAACTTACTAAGTTTAGCCGTCTAGTTTTGAAAAATCTACGATAAATTTTTTTTTTTATTTAAAGAATAAATTTTCGCGTTAAAAAAAAGTAAGTCTTTTATAATATACATGAAAATGAAACGCCTCACTAAATATAGATGAAAGGTCGTTTCCTCATTAATCTTAGCTCCCTCTTAATCTGCTGAAGGTGCTGGGTGTAATTTATGTGCCGTTTATTAGCGTGTCTGACGCAGGGAGGAATCGTGTACCGCGGGGCCGGGACGCTGGATGCGGCGGGGTTATTAATTATGACAGTAATGGTTAGTCTTGTGTTTTTTACGGCGTGATCGATTCCTCCGTGGAGCCTGAGAAATGGTTGGTTGGTGTGAGTTGTTGACGGCTAATTGGTAGGTGGTGATGGCGGTGGGGGTGGGGGGAGGGGGGGGGACAAGAGATATGACTGATGACTAAATATAATAAAAAGGCAATCGGACATGACTTATGACTGGTGATTTGAACAAGAAGACATGGGAGATAAACTGCCGCTAGAAAATAATGGGATCTAACAGTCATCGGAAAATTATGGAATATAGTTCGCACGAGAAAATAATGAAATATAGTTCGCACGAGAAAATAATGGCATATAATTGCCACGAGAAAATAATGGAATATAGTTTTCACCACAAAATAATGGAATATAGTTCTCGCCAGAAATAATGACACATAACTGCCACTTGACAATAATGTGACATAGCTGAAACTAGAAAATGACGCGACGTAACTGTCAACATAAAATAAAGGGATATAACAGCTTCAAGAAATCAATGTGACCTAACTGTAACACCAAAACAATTCGCCATGAATGTTGTTTTTTTTTCTTTTTTTTGGGGAAACACTGGATTATAATAACTGTCTCTAATCGTGACTAGACCAACAAAATCTAACCGATTTTCAGCTTCTTCTTTATTCTTAATTTTTGTGTTGATAAGGATCCCCTCCAACACACTTAAGTGTACGTGTCAACTGGTTATGTGCCATTGAGGCCATTGACTCCGATTTCAGCCTGCTTTTCGTTTTGGATTTGCTTCCATAGCCTTTGTCCAACCAAGAACAAACTACAAGGCAGCAGTTGTTTGATTTTGGAGTTGTCTTTCCTAGAAGAGTGGCTGTCCCCAGCTAACGAGCCTCATCTGCCTGTGATTTCGAACTCGAGACTTTTCGGTTTAGCAACCATGAGCTTCACCGCCTCTACCAGCTGATATGCCGATCTTAACAAAACTTCATCTAACTAGTCTAAATCTGCTATTCATGCTCTGCCTACAAAGCCCTGGTGCTAGGGTTAGAGAATTTGGTTCGGTCATTTCAGCTTAATTTTCTATAAGCCTAACCGAGTGGTGCTTCGCCTTTTTGGAGGTACCGAACCCCACTAGTTTCATATGAGCATTCACCAAACCCTTTTTAATAGTACAATCCGCTTGTAAGTCTGGAGTGTGTCTTGGCTTCCGCCGAACCCCTGAGACTGACTCACCGAACACCTGGGGTTCGATTGTGGCCAGGTTAAGAACCACTGCTCTAACCAAAAACAACAAGGTATAATGAATAGTTTATTAATAAAAACATAATTATGAAGCTGCTTAAATGTTTTCTATTCAAATATCAGCCAGGAAAATACTTTCCAAGGCTTCCGTTTTTGCTGAACTATCTTAAAAGCTTTCAATTTTCGGTAATTTCGAAATCAGACAGTTTTTTTTTTCTAGAAAAAAAAAAAAATAAAGCAGGCAATTTCATCGGGGAATTAATAATGATGTGTGCATTACAAGTATTAGCATCATGTTTTAACAACTCTATAGAATAAAAACAAGACGCCTGGATGAAATAGCATGGCATTTTGTGAGCGGGTGTAAGCCGATTGGGGTCGGCAAAAGGTTCTCTGAGCTACCCCCCCCCCCCAACCTCAACACACTTCCAATTGATCAGCTGAATTTTGACGTGATGTATTCCATCTGTGAACAGTGGATTTAAGAATTTTTTTTTTATAACAAGACGGAGAAGGAGCTAATGAAATTCATCATTCATGCCCATGTTTTTTTTTATCCTTAAAGATTTAAATAAAAACCTGGCTTATTAATTAATTACTTCTGGCTATCGCTATGTCGTGTGTGTAATTGTGCCTAATGGTGATAAAAACGGTTAATATTAATTAAGATCCAACCACTAGATCGTGCCGGTTGGTTTCTAGACAGGTTCACATTTAGATGCTACGACGATAGGTAATTTGTTACAACTACTTTTATTGAGTGTAAGCGCTTCATCAGATGAAAGGGTAAACTTTGTGACAAGGTAATTTGTTGCGACTACTTTTATTGAGTGTAAGCGCTTCATCAGATGAAAGGGTAAACTTTGTGACAAGGTAATTTGTTGCGACTACTTTTATTAAGTGTAAGACGGTGTGGTAGAGTGGTAGAGCGCTCAAATGTTAACCTGAAAGTCTCAAGTTCGGATCTATGTCCAAACGTGAGTAGGCCGGACTTTCCTGGGTTAACCCAGCTCTGATGGGCTAGGGGTTAGGTTTGCCTGTCGCCCCCTCGTGGGACATAGGCCGCTGACTAGAGCTTTCTAGGCGTCTCTGTCCTGGGCTAGTCTCTCCAACTGTCCCAAGGTGTATCCAATCTTCTTGTCTTCTTCCAGGTCACGTCTCCGAGCCTTTCTTGGTCTGTCTCTCCTCCACCTGCCCTGTGGATTCCAGAAGAGGGCCTGTCTTGTTATGCTGGGTAAAGGCTTCCTGAGTGTGTGATCAATCCATTTCCAAATTAGAGAAAGTCTAGGAGGCTTGGCATTGCGCTGACTACACCATCCCTTTACATCACGAGGTCAAGAAACACATGAACTCTACGTCATCTATCCTATTAATCATCAGGTCTAAAAGGTGAACTTGAATTACTTTTACCAAGGACTCATTTTTAGTCTACTACAACGACTTCTGAATTATTCCAAGACTCCTTGACCGACTACAAAATGCCTAGAATATTCTAAAAAAAATTTGCTCCCCTCAACTATATCCAGAATATTCTAGAAATTATTGACTTCATCAATAGCTCATATAACTCCTCGACCCTCTCAACTAGAGTACCCTACAACTCCTTGACCAAAAAAAACCTCCTTGACCAAAAAAAAAAACTCCTGGTTTATAAGCCGCCTGTCTAGCTGGTCACAAAATCCCTTGACGTGATGTTTCGAGCCGATACCTAGATTCTGAAATCAATAACTTAATTTATTGTCCGCCCTACTGATATCAGCGAGCTTTTATGGCTTATTTATGAGTAATCTCGGGGTCTGGGAACTTCAGACTATACAAATAAAAAAATTGTATCAATATTGTGTCGAGTGATGGGGATACAGTGTATAGAGAGTGGTGTCAAATTTCTCGAGTAGAGTGATATGTCACGTCCGACTATTTACGACCGCTTTGCTTTATTTTGTAAAAAATTGTAAATGTTAATAATTATACTGCGGTATGTTGGCTACCTAGATATGCCGAGGTACTAGTATTTAGAGATAAGAGAGAACTTAAATAGTGATGGGACGAAGTGGTCGAGTGGTAGAGCATACGACTGTTAGCCCGAAAGTCTCGAGTTTGAATAAGAGTTCAAGTCCGTAGAACGTCATTGAGTCCTCCCAACTCTGATGGATACCTGACTCACGTTAGGGAAAGTAAAGGCGGTTGGGCTTAGTGCAGACCACACTATCCCTTCTTATACCGAGGTCACGGATATAAGTTAATACTAATTCAATTGCCCCATGGACCGTCCAGTTCGAGAGGGAACTTTACTTACTTAAATAGTGAGTACGACAACGGGAAATGAACAGAAAACAACAACCTAAATCAACATCAGCAAATACAACATGGATTCAGTCGAGGTGAGCGAAGGATAATGTTCCGTACGTCAGTAATCTTAAGCGGCTTGTATTTTAGCTTTGGATTTTTATTAAAAATTATTAAGCCACAAGTGGGAACTCCCAGATTAGAGTCTATCCAGTGTTAATATTAACTTCGGACCAAATATCTCCCACAAATAGAAATGAGAACAAGATTACCCAAAAATAAAAATCTCGTACCCAGTCACCCGGTGCCAAATACGAACCTTCAGATTCGAGTCTGCCAAGCCATACATGTTTATTTCCGATCCAAGATTACCAAAATTAAAAACGTCATACCCAGAGTCAATAGCCGGAAATAGGAGCCTTCAGAATCAAAATCTACTAAGAATTATCTTCGTTTGTACCCTTTTCCATCCAGTTATAACTAGAAACCATTAGTAAATAAAAGCCTTAACTCGCCTATCAAGCAGGAATGGAAAATTCCAGACACGTCCAAAACTGACAGTCATGAGAAATGCGTCACACCAACCGACCTTCGTCTAGGTATTCAACTTGAATATAAAGTTCTAGGCATTCAACCTCAATATAAAGTTCTCGGTATTCAACTTGAATATAAAGTTCTAGGTATTCAACGAATATAAAGTTCTAGGTATTCAACTTGAATATAAAGTTATAGGTATTCAACTTGAATATAAAATATACTCACATTTGAATCATCCGTGAATGATGACCTTGGCCTTGAAATACCCGAACCATCTATTTGAAGCTTTGTTACTGCTTTCTCTGAAGAAAAATAAAAAATATAATTAGCATATTAAAACGAAACTACAAAATTAAAAAAAAATTCGATTAGCTTTGCCGATCATCGTCGTAGTTAATGAGTTAACACGAGATGGCGGGGTCAAAAGATAGAGCGAGCGACTACTTGTAAGAAAGAATGGAGTTCGATTCCCGACTGTGGTTCTGTATGACGTTCGCAAGTACACACAGCTATGAAAGTTAGATGACCGGAGCCTGAGTAGGTAAAGATGGCTGAGCATGCTGCCGATCCACACAGTCCCTTTGTATGTCCATGTCAAACAAATACCAACAACACAGAATCGAACTCTACTTAAATCGTGCTTGAATATGTACCTCACTATAAGCTTACCAACAGTGATGTTTAAAAATACTTCACCTCTTAATATAGTTCAAGCTTTAAATACAGCAGGTAACATGATACGGTCTGGTGAAGCTAAGGGCTTGTCCAAGAATTACGTCCCATAATATTAACTGATTCCTAAGGCAAAGGGTATGGGGGGGGGGGGCAATCCATAATGACGTCACGCTTTTTTGACGATTTTTACCTTCCCCCCTTTCCTCGGTCACACATCGTCACAAAAGGCCGGACCACCCCCACTCCTAAAATGACGTCACACCTCAGCCTACAACCCCGCTCAAAATTGCAGTTGAATTGTTCTTAAAATACGATATTTTTCCAAAATCGTGTCTGAACTCTGTCAACATAGAGTATTTTAATCAATTCCTATTACAATTTATTGAAACAGTTTTCTAAAACGCGAAATAACGGCTAAAATTGTTTTTTATAATGCAAACGCGTGACGTCACATTATCTTAACCCCCCACCCTCTCCCTTATCACACACTGTCACAAAAATACGGACCCCTTCCCCTACAAGTGTGACGTCATTTATAAAAGACCCCTATGGAGACAAATCAAGAAAGAAAAGCTGGCTAAAGTCGAGAGTTATCGGGACGGCATAACATGTTGACACGTAATGCTGAATTATTTTGTAGAGAATCCTCTTCAATGTTACAACTTAAGAAAGAAGACGAAGCAAATTCCAAAACAACAATTTGATCGTTACCAATCGTTAAACACACACAAAAAAAGTAAGTCACTTCTTAAAAAAATATGCCATTTGGCACCCACTACCCAACCAATAAAAATAAAAACCTAGCAATAATTATCACATTTTTATCCCTTAAATAGTTTAACAAATAAGAAAGGTATGCTTCTTCCTATATCAACCTTCCACTGTTTCTTTGCCAAATTCATACCCCCCCCCCCTTATGATAGCGAAGTCTTAAAAATAGTAAGGCTTCTTCTTCACTCAGTATGTTCAAACTTACAAGTGTGATAGTCTTTGTCTTTCAAGATTCAATGAAAACTATATATACAAAAGTGTATTCAAAAAATAGAAATGAAAACGAAACTCGAACAGCCCCGGGAAACGAAACTGCAAAGGCCACAGGAAAAAGACAGCGAGTATTTCATCACAGTTTTAAATAACACAGTACATAGGTTCTTTGTTAGTTTTGTTGATTGCATTCATTGTTATCTCACTACTATAACCAACAGTAATCAGCAGATGTCATGCAGAGTTTCTTTCAGGCATTTCTTCGAAGGAAAACGGCCCGTACCATCTTGACGGAGCAGGTATTCCCCCCCCCCATCCCCCCCCCCCCCCCCCCCCCATCCCAGAGCGAAATACGAAATACGTAAAATATAACATTCATATAGAAATTATATTTTTTGCATCCTCTCCTCCTCTCCAACCGGAGAAAAATGTCTGAAAGTAACCCTGATGCCATGTATACCAATGTGTTTCGGCATTACTAATATCTGCAATTGTGTTTAACGCCACGGAAATCACATTTAAGCAATGCAACACAAAAAAATACTAGATCTCGAAAGTGTTTTTTAAAAATGTGTTTTATTTGTTATGGAAATACTAATGCATGCCATCTAGCGCTTCAGACGCGCTACACAAAAGGCGAAGGAAAAATCTGTTTTAAATAAAAGATGGTTTATGTAAACCAGAGGAAGCGGGGCCAGGGTATGACGGGGAAGATGAAGGTTGGTGAATACTCTAGGAAGTAATGGACAGAGATGGAAAGCATGTTTCTTTTTTTTTTTTTTTTTTTTTTTGGGGGGTTTTTTTAACATAAAGCAGAGGAGGTCAGAAATCGGAAACAAATATCCAGACGGGGTGCGCTCGCATAGTATTTACATAATCCGATTTCATAACACGGAGCCGCGCGCGGAAGGAGAGGGAAAATTGACGCGCCGGGGATTGATAAGTAGTCCGCGGGGATTGAGAGATCACACAAATTCATACAGATTGTCCCGTTATGTATTTACGTTGGGTTTTCTTTCCCCATGTAATCCTTGTGATTACACAACTTCTAGTATTGGTTAAACTTTCCAATGTAGGAACACGGGTTAGGTTTTTTCCCCTGTAATCCTTGTGATTACATAACTTCTAGTATTGGTTAAACTTGCCAATGTAGGAACACGGGTTAGGTTTTTTCCCATGTAATCCTTGTGATTACACAACTTCTAGTATTGGTTAAACTTTCCAATGTAGGAACACGGGTTAGGTTTTTTCCCCATGTAATCCTTGTGATTACATAACTTCAAGTATTGGTTAAACTTCCCAATGTCGGCGCACGGGGCAGCTAAATCTAAAAGACCAACACGATAACATAATTATATTTAATATATAACAGGAAGTGAAACTAACATGGTTTCGGGAAATGTTGCCGGAAATCATGTTGTTAATTAGTTCGCTGTATTCACCTAGTACGCTAGAGTCAAAACTGTAACTTATATGTAGTATTGTATAGTTCTGCCGGAAAGAAGATGCATAATGTGGTAAGTTTATACGGACATGCGCAAACAAGAAATAACTAACACCAGCATACTCTCGTTGGCTAGGCGAGAGGCTATTCTTACTATTTCTGGCACTAGTTTTTATTGCACGAGGAAGGATGCATGAAAAGTGCAAAAGTTACAACACTAGGATCCATCCTTCCCTTTAGGGAAAGGCCCTAAAGTATGTCTATAATTGCCATATTATTTAAGCAAGGTTACGGGGAGACTGACAAAATACGAGTAAAGAGACGTAACAGCTTCACTAAATAAGTTACTTTATTGACAAAGTTCCTATGACTTAAATATTTAAAAGGCATTCCTTTTTGTCCAAGGAAAAAACTTTTGTTGGTGATGGCTGAGGAACTTTGCTCAGAAAAATCACGACATGCCTGGAAGAAAATGCCCCCCCCCCCCCCCAACTGAAATTTGATAGTTAATGCGGCCCTCGGACTGAAAAGTTTGGAGACCCCTGCCTTAAAGTATCCCAAAATCTTCAGTTTTAATGAAAAACCATACAATTTAAAAGTCTAAGATCGGAAAGTGAAAAAAAGAAAATATGATTTTCCAATCAGGAATTCCGGGACAACCGGAAATGTGGTCCCCCTTGAAATTGGATTTTGTAACAACGATTTACGTGTACACAAACACCTCTTACACTTGATGAAATGAAGGATTACTTAAGTGCGTGACTCACTATCTCACAGTTTTCTTATGAATTAATTAAGCAAAAAAAAAAATTAACTTCTGTTTTTGAATTTTTTAATTTATTACCTCGCACTCTCTTTAACTAAGTTATACCAATATTTCTGATGGTGCACTAATAATTAGTAATTAGGAAATGGCTGCAAAATCACGTGGATGATGAAATATACCTATAAATCTAAATGCCCATCAGCATCAGCAGCTATAGTAAACAAAGCGCAACAAACTCGTTACAACTAAAATTTTACAATTATCTTTTTGTGAAAAAGAAGTAGACTAATATTTAGCAATGAGCTATTTATTGCGAAAGAAGTAAAACACACGCAAACATGTCGTAACCGCTTTTTACCACAAAATGGTACTCAAAATTCTTAGAACAAACTGTTTTTGTACAACTGGCTAAAAATTTTATAACCGCCTTTGATTGTAAAAGGGAACTAAAATGTACAGACCTCTGATAATCTAGTTCAAAATCTAACATGTTTTGCAATATTTTAATCGTAAAGCTGCAGTAAAATTGTGTAACAAGTTGTACTTATAAATAACGAAGCAATACAAACTTCCGTGGTTAGGTAATTTAAAACGTAAAATGACAGTTACATTATATAGGTTTAGTTGTTAATGACGCCCAAATGTATATGCAACCTAGCACAAAAAAAAAAGTTTTTTTTTTTTTAAACCCCACATACAAAGCAATAATTTTTTTTAATCCTCTGATAGTAAATATACGCTATGGTAACTAGAATATCTGTCCCGGACGATGAAAATGTTTTATTGCTGTGGAATTGAGTGCATGAATAGACTCAACATAGCTCCGGTGTGTTTCCTGAGCAAGAGTTTACTTAGTAGGTTTGATCGGTGTTAATAGCTTCTGGAAAGAAATCCATCTATATAAACCCCAGACCTCCGGTGCCGCACTTAACACTAAATCGTCAGTGTTCGTGTGGTAAAAACATCATTTTAAAAGCACGGAGAAAATCAAAAACAAAAAAAAAATGTTTGTATACACATCTTGAGTGCATTTTTCCTTTGTTTACTAATCCTCCACGAATTTTCAAAATAATTTAATAGTGGCGTCTACTACTTGTTTAAAGCTAATTTTTATGTTTAAAAAACGAAAACTGAGTACTTGCTTAACCGATACCAATGACTTAAAACCAACCGCCATTCTTGTGACATAACAACCAGCACGGCATAACCAATCCCCTTTACATAACAAGACAAACAGCATAATTTAACCAACAACATATTCTCGTGACATAACAAACCGCATGACTTAACCAACAACATATTCTTGTAACTTGACTTAACCAACCCCATATTCTTGTAGCTTGACTTAACCAACCCCCTATTCTCATGACATGACAACCCGCATGACTTAACCAACCCCATATTCTTGTAACTTGACTTAACCAACACCATAT